TGATCTCTGTGATGGGGGAGTGACTGAGGTTACAGTGAAGTCTGTGATGGGGGAGTGACTGAGGTTACAGTGAAGTCTGTGATGGGGGAGTGACTGAGGTTACAGTGATCTCTGTGATGGGGGAGTGACTGAGGTTACAGTGAGGTCTGTGATGGGGGAGTGACTGAGGTTACAGTGAGCTCTGTGATGGGGGAGTGACTGAGGTTACAGTGAGGTCTGAGAGCGGGGGGAGGGGGGTGCCGGACACGGCTCACTTGTGGGACTTCCTCCAGCCGCCCCCGCCAGGCCCCGCGCCGCAGTCGTACGCCTGGATGATGAAGGTAAACTCCTTCTGCAGCTCGCAGTCGATGGGCTGTCTGGCCCGGAGGAGACCCTCCCCCGACGTCCTGTTCAGGACCACCGCCTCGAACGGGGCGTCCTGCCCATGGATCTTAAATGCGCAGATCTCACCTGCGTGATATGGGGGGGGGGGGGCAGAGAGAAAAGGGGGGTTTAAAAATGCAACTTGACACATCTGGCAGCGAGGACGGTGACTGGACGGGCAGCTGACGGAAAGGGGCGGGGCGGGGCTCAGAGCCATGCAGGATGCGTCCCATACAGAAGCTCCTTGGCCTGCGTGCCGCAGCGCTGCCCCCTGATGGCAAATGGCAGCGGTATCAGCAAAGGTAGCAGCAGGGGGTAAATTGGATTGCAGTCGCTCGGCCCTCGTCGCCGCTGGCTGCTCCTGATAAGGCAGACTTTATTTCCACTCTCTTTCCTTTCATTTTCTTTCTTTCCCTCTGCCCTTTCCCGCTATAATCCCACCCCCCACCCCCCCGGGAGCTGGAATAATAACTCGGCACCACTCCGGACGTGTGATGCGACACAGGGCCCTCATTTAAGCCCCCCCCCAATGACTTATTGAAATCAAATAGGCTACAAAATGGAAGAACAGTGGAAAGGTACAGCGAGAGAGAGGCTGCGTGGCTGCGACTGTGTGTTCGGAGAGGAGCACAGAGAGGCATCACTGGTGTGGAAATCCAATACGTGGCAAATTCTCGGCCAAATGTGTGGCGTCGCCACTTAAGGGTGGGGAATGTGCCACAGCTGCCTGTTTAGTTGTCTATGTGTGTCGCAGATCCGTCTCGGGATTAAGGATGGAGGCAGGTCAGTGAGGTCGAGGCGACTGCAGCATCCCAGTCACTGCAATCTGAATAAATAAATTCACTAAAGCCACAGCTTTTCAGTTTCACCCACATCAGCTGAACCCTCCTAAGGAGGCGAACCCCCCATGTCAGGGCTGTGGCTGCAGACCCCACCCCGTTACCCCACCACAGGGGGGCGTAGTGTGCAGGCAGTGGGGGATGGCAGTCCCAGGTTAGGGTTATCATCCTTTCATTCAGCCAGCTTGTGGCACCGAAGTGAGATTTCTCTGAAATTTCAACAGCTGGAAGTCCAGAGCAAACAGCATGTAGAGGCTCTCCCTTGGGCAATGAAAGGCGTTCCCTCTTATGGGTACCTGCTGGGGCTAAACAATCTCATACGTTTTCCTGTGCGAGTTTTGCTGCTTTGATGGCAAAAAGGTATAACATAACAACACCACACTTGAATGTCTGGCTTGATGCCACCCTACCAGCTGTGTAGGACACACACACGCACACACACACGCACACGCACACGCACACACGCACACACGCACACACACACACACATGTTTGTATTCATATCTTTGTGGGGACTGTCCATTCATTTATATGGGAAAAACCCTAATCCCAACAATAAGAACCTTAAACTTTACCCAGCCCTAACCATTACCATAAATAAACAACAACAAAAAAATTTTGACTGCATTCACAGATTTTTTACAAAATTTAGCTTATCCTTGTGGGGACTGAAAAAATGTCCCGGCAAGGTAAAAAGTTGCAGTTTTGGTCTCCACAATGCACGCACAGACACACACACAGACACACGCAGACACACACACACACACACACACACACAGGCACACGTGAGCTGCATTTCGAAGCTCGCAGTTTACATTAATATGCTTTTTTTGGTCTCCATTTCGCGAGCCTGCTGTCTGCACGCAGGTTTGCAGAGTGATGTCAGAGTGTGAAACTGCTCTGGAGAGCATACAGCAGATGTTCCTGCACCTGCCGTGAATCACAGGTTGCACTGGTGTCTGACGATGAATTTCTGATGGAATCACATTTTAAGGAGAAGTGGGGGGGGGGGGGTTTCTTTAAAAAACCCGAGGGGGGGGGGGGGGGGGGGCCTCCCTGAGGACACCATGTCTCTTCTCCAGGACGTGACGCTTACATCCGTCACCAGGAGGTGCTATTGTGCCCATCCCTGTCAGCAAGCACCTTCTTAAACTTTAATTCTTTTTAGCCTGGCGTGCGAATGCAGTGTGATGCAGTCACAGTTTGCACCACCAGCGCCCTCTATCAGCGGGGCAGAAGCCCACAGCTTTGCGTTCGATACCAGCATCACAGGGAAAGAGTGCAGTTACACTGCGTCGCAGGAGTAAGAGAGAGAAATAAAAATCCCTTCTCCATTCTGGGCTGGGTGTGGGGGGGGGGGGCTTTAATTAGAGGCGCGCTCCCCCTGCAGCATGTCGGGAGGCTCACACGCGTTTTGTTCGACCTTGCAGAGCTCCCTGTAAACCTGCCGCCCCTCCTCCTTCATTATGAAAAGGACCCCCCCCTCCAAATAATGGCACCCTGCTGCCTCTCGAACAGCAAGGAGACATGAAGTGCAGTGTGAAGAGCATTGGGAGGGATGGGTTAAGGAGACATTCTGCAGACAATCTCTTTGACCCCCCCTCCCCCCACCAGAATCCTTTGCTTTTAGATTCTGCTGACTTTGGCCGCTAACCCAGCGCACCACGCTGCTCACAGATCACTGTGCTCACTTTCACCATGTGATCCTTAATACTGTACATTCCAGGGCTCTTAAGCCGGTAAGTCAGGTGACCTCCCCCCCCCCCACCCCGACAGATCTAGAACAGCACAAGTACCTATCACATCCATTTATGAAATCATTGTGTCAGTAATAGAACCGCTGGGGGTGAAGAAACCTCACCCAGCGCAGCTGCGACTTGGCGCGGCGGCACCCCTCACAAAGGCCATCTTTCAGGGGAGGGGGCAGCACAGCCGAATTCTCCCGACCCCTGAAACACCAGGTTCACTATGAGCTCTGGCAGGTCAGCCTGTCTTTTCCGTGCCACTTGTAATAATGTTTTGTCAGTTCTCATTCACATTGAATTGAGGAGCTTTTAACTAATTAACTAACTTTTTGTATGGCTTGGTGTTTTTTGGAGCATATTCATTTAATGGCCCAGGCTTTACCGTTCACTACCCCACTCTCCACATGACGTCTACATGTTTCTCCAGTACAGTGATACTGTGATGCTCTGAGTTGGCTGGTTACTGTGTTGAGGGTCTCTGTCCTGTGATTGGTCACTGTGTTAAAGCTCCCTGTCTTCTGATTGGTCACTGTGATGAAGGTCTCTGTCCTGTGATTGGTCACTGTGTTGAAGCTCCCGTCTTCTGACTGGTCACTGTGTTGAAGCTCCCCGTATTATGATCAATCACTGTGTTGCTCAAAGCCTTTTGGCATAGATGAGTGGAGTGACTGCGCGCCTGCAGACAGCATATCTGCAGCTTATGCGCATCCTGTTGGGGGACTCTCTCCTGGTCTGCCCAGGACGGCTGGACCTCTGAGGAGATCCTTAACCTGTGGGTGCAGTGCTACTGAGATATATCACAGTCCCAACAGGCAGGGGCCGCAAACGGACGGCATCACAGGCCCCCACTTTAGCTAAAGACGGAGAGAACTACATATACGCAGTAAACAATTTTCTCAAATTATGCAGTAAAAGATTCCATTGTACTCCTCTGCCATTTGCCATGAATAAACAAGACCGGAATAATGAAAATGACTTTGCGGATCAAATGAATGAACAGAAAGGGGTAATAGTCGGTAATGGAAGAGAAGGACCACAGAGAGGAGACTTTAAAGCGGCCAGCCAGCAGATGTACTCAGGACAAGAAGGCCCGCTTTGGACGTGACTGTTTGCTTAATTCACGCACTCTGCTACGCCTCTCCCATTAGCATGACACGCACAGTCACAGCGAGTGTTTACTGCATGTTTGTCTGCGCATAGCAGCTGCGTGTTGATTTATTTTTTTGGCCAGCAGGAGGATGAGAACACAAGAGGCTTTTAGCAAGAAAAAGAAACCAACAGAAAGAGAGGTGAGGGGACGGCAATACTACGCTTAGCCTTCTTGGGGCAGCGGATCTCTGGTTTTTAAGGAACAATCTGGAACAGGCTGTCTTTTTAAGGAGCCCGGGAAGACAAGCCATGTGACTCGGGAGACAAGCTTACATTTGCATTGGCAGAGAGATGCTAAAATATGCATGTAATTATGAAAGTCTGCCTCAGTGCTTTATGGGGGATTGTGTGATACATCTTAAAATGTACAGGCAGGATGATTTTGCCATCGACGTGCAGTCGTTTTAACAGGGAACCAGAAACTCATTAAAAAAGCATATTCCGTACAATGAGAGACTCTTTGCACATGGTATTTTCTTCTGGATGAGTCCAAATCCCCAATTAAAGGAGGCACAGTGCAGAGGGGGGAGCAGATTGAATTAACGGGGCGGGCCTGTCTGATGGATTCCTTGAATCGTGCTGTTTACACCTACTCCCCTTTGTCTCCGACGCTCTTCAGCAAGAGAGTAATCACGCATGGGATGTGGGAGGTTCCTGCAGCGCTCATGTATGCCTGTAGGGGGAGAAAGCCCTGATCTGTAATGTTTAATTCTCAGTGTGGAGCCGCACCCACCCCTGCAAAAACAAAATCGCCTACCATTCCGGCCCATTCCGGGGGGGCTCTTGGGCTCCCTCCTAGTCATCATGGCTTCATCAGGGCCCCCGTCGCACTGTAGGTGTGTGTTTGGGAATATTCTGGATCTTGTATTGTACTTCATATCTATTTCGAGTTCTACGGTGCATCAGGAAATTCAGCTTCTCAAAGTTAAGACACTAAGGGCACAAAATTATTCATAGACGTTTGACCCTGATTTTTCCCAACGGTGATTAATTAATAGGTTTGCTTAATTTATAATTTGTACAAATGTAAATGTGGCCAAACCATTCCTGGCCACACGCAGATCCCCTAATGGCCCCCACCCCGTCCTCCAGGAAGCCGGAGTGATGCCCGATTTATGACTTTGCACATTTGCTCGGAAGGATTAAAAAAAAATCTTCTTTTCTGGAGGCCACACAGGACATCAAAGCTGATTCAATCCAGCATTCCCGTGGAGCTGCTGTCCTCTGTGAGGCCAGAGGGTGAGGAGCAGTCCTGCATTCACGGTGCCCGCCTCCCTCGGCTGTGACTACCAATAGGAAAGGTAAAGCTTTGAATTGTACAGTGGGCAGTCACTGGCTATCATCTCAGCTGGTC